GTGTGTGTGTGTGTGTGTGTGTGTGTGTGTGTGTGTGTGTGTGTGTGTGTGTGTGTGTGTGTGGATCCATACAATTACATCATTGTATCGCCGCGAGTATAAGTATATAATTACAATTACTTATTAATATTCACAACTTAATAATCGTTCGCCACTATTTTCCCTTTTTTTTTCTTCTTTGCTAGAAACAATGCGCAATTATTGTGTTTGTCCCGTTTTGCCGTTCGTCCATCGTTCACGATCATTAATTATTAATCATTATTATTGTTGTTGCTTAATTGTATGTACAGAAGAGGTATATATTCAATAATATTAATTAGTATCAGTATCTATAATAATTTAAGTTTCACACGTGACTACTCTGTGTGTGTGTGTGTGTGTGTGTGTGTGTGTGTGTGTATGTGTATGTGTTCGTTGGTGTCTCTAGAAAAAATTCGCTTCACTCTGACTATATTTTTCTTCCCTTCATGCTATATTCCCCCATTATTTTTACATAAAGCCAGATGCATTTTTAAGAGTTTTATCACGAGATTAAAATTCTCCGGTGACATTTTTTTCTCATCGTTAGATACATTCTATCAGAGAATTATTTATAAAGAATCGGAGTTTTTTAAAAAAATTAAGTAAATTGTTGAATTACTGAATATTATTACATTAAAGAGTACATTAAATATTAAATAAATTCCTAATGAGACTTATTTAAACTTTCTAGGCTTTACTATACTGGAAAGTATCAAAATTTCCGGGAGGGATAAAATCACAGCTCTCCAAGAAATGAGATATTCTCTAATTTAATGAAACTCTCGAGAAATAAAACTCTCGCCAGTACACCGAGCCTGATAAAGTCTTCGTCTACAAGAACAAATCCGACGCCTGCCCGGTTTCGATGTCCCGATAGGAGATGTCAGCGAGGAAGCGGGCGAATACCGGTTTCGGGATTTCTAGATATTGATCGAATCGATTTATCTCTAGTAACCGAGGCCGGTTTTCGCTGAGGACGAGGCCGAAGTCGAGTAAGAGACTCCAAAAGAGTCACACAGATCGGAAGAAATACATTATTGCTCAGGCGATTGGTCCTCTCCCCCACAGGTAGGGGAAAATCGCTGGGAGCATCGATCGGCAGGCGTCTTGATGGATCGTTCGATCAAAATTAATAAAATCGATCAGTGATCGACAATTCGCCGTAGAGCTCGAAATTCGATGCCGGTGAGATGAAAATCGGAAATACTGACGAATGCTCGGTAATTCGCGCACGGAATACGATGTGTCTTGATATTTCAATCGAAGAAAAATTTATCGCGCATCGATGGAAGAGAAACCCATGGTCAGAATAAAATTCGAAAATTTCCCATCTCACGTGGCATCGAAAAAACGAACTTGTCGTAACGCACGTCGACCGATTTCCGATCCATGTCGTACGCGCGAACTAGGAGGGTTGCTCCTTGTCCCTACGGCGTCACCGGAAATGACGGACTCACGCCGACATTTCCGGCGCTACGTTTTTCTACGTACAAAGAAACGGACTCGACAATGATCTAGAGATTTAGCCTAAGTGTTAACGTAGAACGCTATTCTGTTCGTGTGTATCCCTGTTCTGTGTTTGTATATTCATCCCCGTCTCTTTCCTTCTCTCTCACTCTTTCTCTCTCGCTCTCTCTCTCTCATTTTCGCTTTCGTGTCCTAAGGACTAACTTGCTTTATGAACTAAGACGTCGCCTTATGCGCGATATCTACTTCACCGCTAAGTTTAGCAACATGGACATTATTATTTTGTTTCTCTTCTATTAATT